CCAGAAGTGGACGAGTATCCACTGCCAATAACCAATCTCTTCACGCACTGATTCCCTCGTCTGCTCATCTTGTAACTACTATGTACTGACTATATTCTGTACTCAGCTTCCTTCACGTCCACCTAATCACCTCCCCATCCGTCGCCCGTAGGCCCACGCACAAACGATTCAGCGCCGCCATGCCAGCCGACCCCGTCATGGCGTTCGGACCCCCCGCTACAGGTCCAACGTGTCGCTCGTGTGATCCAATGTAGCTCTCGGTGGCCCAGGGGGTGGTTTCGAGCCCGGTCCAGAATTACCCAGTTGACGCGGCGCTCTAGGGGCTCAGGGATTGCAGATGCTGCTGTTGCTGGGGGGGGTGGTGGTGTTGGGGGTGGTTTGGGGGGTGTCGGTGGGGTTGTCGGTGGTGGTGGTGGGCGAGATGGTCGGGAGTAGGAACGGGGGGAGGCGCACACGCGGTCGCATGTCTTCTGCCTCCTGGTCGGCCGAGTCAAAGGGGGTGGCCGTCTGGGGAGGGAGGCTCGCTGTGGCTTGCGTACCTTCCTCGTCGACGGCGGCCTCCAGTTCGGCGTAGTCGTGGCCCCTGACGTCGTAATCAGCATTGTGGTAGTCAGTGTCTATGTCGGTGGGCTCGGGGGCGCTGGGGCGCTCAAAGGGTTCCAGGATGGAGTCATCTTGGTGGTACCCGTCGAGCGGTTCTGGATCCTCGATGAACTCGGAGCTGCTGTCGCTAAAATTGTCTTCGGCGTACTCTTCGTACCCTTCGTCCCCTTCGTCCCTTTCGTCCCTTTCATCGTCTGCGTCCGCTGCATCCTCTGCGTAGTGGCAGTTCGGCTTCACCACAGATTGGGCACTGTCATCAATTGAGAGCTCCTCTGTGTCGATGATGGCCAGCTCCATAATGGGCTCGGCGCTGTCATCGCAGGAGGGTTCGTCTATTTCGATGATGGGCTGCTCCGTTGTTTCGACCCCTAGTCCAGCGAGGTATGAGATCACGGGATCCTAGCCCATGATCTCATCCTCGCGCTGGGGCGAGGTTTCGGCGGCAGCCACCCGGGCCTCCTCCGTGCTGGGGACGTGTGCTAACTTCACTGCCTTGCCCTCCGGTGTCGCCTCATCCTTATTAGGAGTCATCGAATACTCCGTCAGCGGTGTTCCAGGGCAAGGCTCGCTATGGACGCTGACATCCACAGATTCCGCGCTGCTCCCTGAGCTGCTGCGCGAGTGATTGCGACTGGAAAGGCCAATGGCCACTGGGATGGGCTGCGCCACGCGAGTCTTTTTGGGAGTCTCGACTTCCTGTGTTAGGGGAGTCACCTTAGTGATAGGAATCTCAACCTCCTGCGTGGTGGAAATTTCCGTCTCCTTGATCACACTAGGTGAAGCCGCCCTTGTGACCACCCGCACTGGCGCGGGGATGTCCAGGACAAGCTCCCGCGCAGCCTTTTCCAGGTTCAGGTCCCGGTAGTGGCCCGGCGCAGTCCGCCGGTTCGGGAGCCTGCCGTGCACCATTTGGCGGTTCAGCTTGCCCTTCTCAATAATCTGGGGGACGAACCATGGGCTGTCGCTCTCCAGAAGCGCGTTAAGCTCTTGGGGCCCTTGGATGCTCGAGACGCAGGCATCAAAGTCATCTTCATAGATGACTTGGTAGACGATAACCGGCATGGGAATGGCAGTCGGTTGTTCATCCTTGTGGGGGATGTCTTGCGAGACATGAATGCCGAGAGATTTGTTCAGGTCCTCCTCGGCTTCAGATCCGATCTCGGTTTCAGAGTCGAAATCGTCCTCGCTGTCGGACATTTCCGGCGTGGCGGCCGCGTTGTCGCTCCCGTATTCCTCGACGGGGGCAACGGCATGGTGGGTGTTGGCGGCGGTAGGCGTTTCTTGAACGGTAAGCTCTTCTTTATCAAGGGAAATAATCTCAGTCTCGGGAATAGCGATGGCATCTTCCTGCGAAGAGACAGCCTGCACGGGCTCGGGGGTGTTTTGAATATCGGCGTCTAGGGTACACTCGATAGCGACAGGCTCGGTGCAGACACTGATAGGTGGCTCAGGAGTTTCCGTCTCTACAGCCGGCGAGTCAGAAGGGGTGTCGATTATGGTATCGATAATGGTGTAGGTTTCCGGAGCCGGGGTCGGCTCAGCCACGGCGTCAGGCTCTGCGTCAAGGGAAGGAGAGGCAGATTCAACCGGCACAGTAGTCAGTTCCGTGCTGGCGACTGCCTCCTCCTGGTCCTTCTGAGATGCAACCTCCTCGATGATGACAGCATTCTGAACTTGAGGAGTCTCCTTTGGGGGCTCGGTTGTCAAAACAGGAATGCCCTCGGCGGGCAAGGCGCAGCCGGTAGCGGCAGTGGTGGTCGCTTGAGAGGTGTCATTGTCATCCTCGGAAACAACTTCGGTCAGGGCAGGAACCTTAGTCGGCTGAGTAGAGGAAACTTCCAGAAGGGCGGTATCCCGGTCGCGGGCATACTCTGAAGCCACAGGTTCGGGCGAAGCGGTAGAAACGCCGAGGCTATTGGTAGTCTCGAGTTCCGACTTGCGAAGAGCACTGCCCCTGAAAACGCTTTTACAAAAGGTTTTGAACCCCTTGATCCCCCTAGCGAAGGGCTTAAGAGGGCTGCCGTGGAGGGCGGTCCCCAATCGTTTGCGGATGATAGTCACCTGCCAAAACTTCTTGCCACTCTTGTTCGTCATTACGACTAAATGGCTGGTGTGATCTGTGTCCATGGTTTCGTCAGTCGGTCGGTCCATGCCTCGATTCTTGGATGCCTTGATTTCTTGCTGGGCAACTCGGATTGTTTACGCGACGAGGGAAAATTCGAACGCGCCGCAACCGAGGTGATGGGAGATGGGTGGGTATGATGGTGGGGTGAGGGCCAACAGGGATCCAGGTTCAGGTGTTTGTGATGATGGTGTGGAGTTGAGGCTCGAATGATTGAGACTCGACTACCACTAGGTCTTATGTGTGCAAGCAATGGGGGAGGGCGGTGGTGGGGGGGTCGGGAATCTAAGACGACGACCTACTAACCTAAAGGATAATTGGTGATGGTAAAGAAGTTCCCAATGAAATTGCTGGTGAACTGCCGCGAGACTTGCACGTGGTCAGCCCAGGTGTTTTGGTCCAGGGTGGAGGCCAACTTGCCAAGGTAAGAGGCGAAAGAAAAGAACCAAGTGGGTTGATGTAATAGGTTGGTGGGCTTGACTTACTGTCGGAACAGTATGGCTGATGATTGGGAGAATGCAAGAAGAAGTTGTTGAGAAGTGTGGTGTGGGAGTTTTGCCGACTCTAAAAGCTGCGGCGAGAAGTTGCGAAAATGGATTGGGTTGAGGACAAGAGATCTGAGAACAAGGACCAGGATTTATAGGCGTCTCTGAGAGCTTGTTATGCTTGGCTTTCCTGACTGAACAATCTGATTTTACGTCCTGACAGACCCAGTTGTGTGTGAATACTAAACTGAACAAAACTGAACAGTGTGGGTGGGAGTCACCGAAATTGTGAATCGGCCACAAGATCGGGTCTGCCCTGTTATGTATACACACTCTTGCCCTACACTGTTACCCGACTTTCCCTGCTGTCTTATTGGGTCAGCCAGGTCGGTCAGTCAAACCCCTGGATCATTCGTCCGAATTCCAGGGGCTCAGGCTTGCCGCTTATTCTATTATTGCGGCAAGTGAGTATGTCCTCACCCCCAGGTATGTATGCACACACGGGATCTCGCAGGAGCCAACCCGTATGTGTGGCTCTCTACATGTTGTTTACTTTTGCCGTGCCCTGATAGAGCCCCCTTGAAGCGAGCCCTAGGACTGGACGGTTGTTGCCAACGCTGCGTGACTGGTGCTCCACTGGCATCTTACATGCCCTATCACAACAAACCACGACTGGAACCACAGCCGACGATGGCCTTCGTCCAAGCCGCAAAATTGGGACCACATGGTCCATTGAGATCCAATCTTACCCGCCTGTCTCAACCCTACCCGACACATGGTGCTGGGTCCGTCGCTTGCGCCATGCACTCCCCTGGGTGCTCTTTTTGGTTCGCCCCGGGGTATTAGGGCATCGTCGATCGGTTTCCAGCCCCCCCCCCCCCCAGACTGACCTCTGTCCCAAGAAATGGCTCTGTCCCAGCTAATGCACATCAGATAGGTGGCCAGGTGAATGTTTACTTTTGTCCCTCGTTCTACCGTCGGCTTTACGTAAGCCCCGCTAAACAATGTTGACTAGCCAACAAGCTGCCGACCGTGCGGCTGCTTTGTGAGACCGTTTGGGGAACTGCAGCCGGAATGTCACTGTTGTGCATTGTGACGCGCTTGAGGTCGAGGACGCCGTACCTGAACAGCAGCCTAATCCCCCACACAAGTGACACCAACCCGACCGCAACCGTCCCGAACAGGAGATATCAGTTTGGCAATACGACATTAGGGTTTCCAACACAGATGGTAATGCATACCCCATTGGCTGTGCCCATTTGCCGTCCCAACGGCTGCTGGGGTTGTATGGTATGTATTACCTTCTCCCCAATCCGGCCCAAATCACATTAGATATTCTGGTGATTTCCAGTGAATCTATGGGACGTGGCTGGTCATAGAATTCCAAGTTTGTTAACCTACAAGACCAGGTTGAAGTCCAAAAAAAAAAAAGAAAACAGGGCTTGCCCTGTACTTGATGTAGGTGACCATCAACAAGCCCAACCTACAGTCGCACACGTGCACGCACACGGCCTATTCACATTTCTCCCTGACCAACAACAGATCGCCCGTGTCGTACTCTCGAGCCACAAAGTTTTTCCCCATCCCTCCCAAGTCCCACCCCAGCCTTGTTGCCCATACAACCCAAGTTGCCCTTGCACGTGCAGCCACCTATGGAGAACCGACGTGCTACCTCCCCGCCACCATACCACACCACCCACAAACCGCAATAACCAACGGGACCGCTCTCTGCCCAGCCTTGCCCCGACACCCCTCCACAAGAATCACCATACCAACACCGACCCTGGCCAACTTGCGCCGGAAGTACAACACAATACACCCTGAACAGAATCATATCATGTTGAGCGTAGTAGTGCGCCGCGAACTCGTGGGCCTCGCTGAAGCGCCGGGGTAGGCCCATCTCGGATGGATGGATGGATGGAATTTATTTCGCCCGGAGGCACTGGGCCTATAGGGCCTTAGCCCGCTAGCTACATCCGGATCAGATCGTTTTGCGTTTAACTCGTACAAGCCCCCTACTTCTTCCCTCTTTCTCGCTGCACCATTTACCTCTTGCCTTGGTTGTTGTTAAGATGATCTGGATCATGTGACCCATCTCGGCAATGGCAGGTGGCAGCGTGCGAGCTTGGCATGAGATCCGCCAATTGGCCGGTTCGACTACCCTCTGTTCATACTCAGTGTGGAGATAGATACATGGGGGGTGATACGAGGCCCGGCCTTCTGCTCCCCTTCTCGACCCCTGCTCGCGAATACTTTGGTGAATGCTTTGCTCCCGAGAGGTAAATCACAAACTCATGACCAAGAGCCGTCGAGGCGAGATACCATCTATAGCCTGCCAGTTGGAATCTGTTAGCTAGGGTTCCTGAGCATGCGATTTTCCACAGCATGTTAGTTCTTACCCGGAATTCTTCGCTCTTAGTTCTTGTCCCCAATAATACGCCGTCTTCATATTCGAACCCGGCCACGTCCTACCCAAGAGGCTTAGGTCTGTCCTGCCGTGCCGCGAAAGTATCGGTGGAGATATTCGCTCATAGTAGTACGATTTGTAGGGAGTCGCGTCAATAGGCGACTAATTTCAGTCCGAAGCTCTTGAAGGTTCTCCTCGTCTCCTGCTTTCCGCTGCTGCTGGTGTAGTACGAATCTGGCAGCAAAACTGAGAACCACTCCAAATGTGAGCAGAACCCTACCGACTCTGCTATGCAGGATTAATGTGTGACTGTTGGCATATGTTGTATCGTTCTGTTGCTCAAGGGCATCCATTACGACTTTGATTTGATCCTTAAGCTCTTCAATGCTTTCCCGCATGTGGGTTATCCCCTGCTGAAAGTTGGTCACGAGGGTCTGATCCTCGGTCGTTTCGATCAAATGCCACCCATATTCTTCCTTCATTGCCTGTCTCCAAGCTTGGAAATCGGCAGAGATGCTTTCCAGCATTTCTGATAGGCCCCACGCCAATCCTGACGCACGTGGATCGAGAAGCAGCGCATTGAATTCCTGCTTGGCGCCTCCAATCAGGCTGTCAACACCACGCGTCTGTCGTCTCAGGTCATCGGCTGTGATTCCTAGTGGTGCCATTCTCGGTGTGATTTGCCGCGAGTTATAGAGGGGAATTTGCAAGTAACAATATGATTGGCGATCGAGGGGTGTATGTGTGTGTGTGAAGCCTCAGAAGTAGGTGTGAGGGACCACTAAGGCTACATGTATCCGCTAGGGGGCTGTATGCCACCTTTCTTATAAACCAGTCGTCCTGTTCCTTCCCTCATCACAACTACCATCATGACTCCGCTTCCACCGGTGGAGCGGCCTACGTGGCCTACCGCGCCAAGGCCGTGGACTGGCCAGACAAAGGTTTACGATTTTATGAGGTTCAGAACTAGTTACCTCATTAGTCATTACGATGCTGGTCCTCGTGGTATCCTCTTTTGAGTCTCGTATCATTGTTCGTGGGCGCTCCACCTAGTCACAAGGGTTTGAGAATGATTCATTCCACAGCTTCTGTTCAGTCCCAAGGGGGCCGGGCAGTGTCACAGTGATCATAGGTCTCGTGGAGACAATTATGCGTAGAGGTGGTAACTAGCTTTATAATTCGCAAGGCCGTTACCTACCAAAGTACCTTGATGCGCATGTGTTCATAGCGGTAGGGACAGGAGTGCTTCTCTGCCGGAATAGCTAATACAAGATCCCCGGAACTGCAGCCACCCGGAGGCACATTGGAGCACCAAGGAACCAACCAATTTCGTCAACTATCCGTAGTAGAAGCAAGGCAGAGTGTGGCAGTGTTGCCGAAACAACGGGCCGACTGGCTTTGAAGCATACTGTTACAAGATACTCCAAAAATGGTCATGGTCGATGAGAAGTGCGATTAGGCTTCAGCAAAGTTCCAAATCCAGGTTCACCATTGAAATTCTGGAACGGGACTTTGGAGGCGCATGAGGTTGTTGGCCGAAAGTGGAAGGAAATCGACTTGTTGCCGGGAATAAATACCCCACCCACCGTCTGGGACAGGAAACGGGGCATGCCCGTAACTGGTTCCAGGGGGGGTTGGGTTTGTTCCAGGTATTAGCGCCAGACGTACTTCGTAAGGCTTCCAAAACCACGCCACCGGGGCCGGCTTCTAGGCTGCCTGGATGATTTCCGCAGAGCCGTCAAAACCAGCGCCAGTTGTCGTCGAGCTTTCAACGCGTGTGAGGTGAGGATTGATGGGGATGTCGCAGACTGCAAAGAATGCCCAGGGTTCCCAAAAGTTCCCGACGTTTTTTTTAGTTAGTGCATGTGGGGTGAGGTACCTGGGTACCTCCGGCACATGTCCTCCCCTGCTCCTGCCAAGGCTGGTAGCGTGCGAAGTGTCGGCAGGCAGGGTCCCCTTCTTCCCTTGTTCCACAAAGGCAAAAAAAATAAGAAAGAAAAAGGTCTTGGCTCAGCTTCCTGTTTCAACTTTCAACTTTTGTTCCATGTCCTGAAAGTTCGTCTCAAGGCCCCATAACTCGGATTCATCCCAATGCCATGGTCCTCAACGTTTACACTACGAACCAGCCCCGGGTAACTCCCAGAGGTGGTAGACACTGACAGCTCGGCCCATGTGATTGCCCCCAAGCATCACTCCGGCACCGCCAGAACTCGAGGGGCTACTCACAAACATGAGCACATACCTGCCGAAGGCCTAAGGTAGTCATGGGGTAATCCATGTATTCTCCGCCCGGTTGTCGACTTGCATCCCAGGTTTTCGACGTTGGTGAGCCGAGGAAGGACTCTTCTGTTCGATCCAGGACTGCCCCGCAGTGATAGTGTTACCCAGTATTCACCACCAGACTACTAACAGTGGGACCTGAAACACCAAACGCATCGCATCCCACCACCCTCGTATGGACACCAAGAGCATGTTTGAGCCATTTGGCAGAGAATAGACGGAGAGCCGGGGCTAGCAGGGACATCCATTCCTTTGTTCTTCAAACCTGTCGGCGCATCCTCAGACGAATACTCACCCCGCGGGACTGCCTTCATGATGGCGCCCGTGGCGCCCGCCACCTCGGGCGACTATAATAACCTCAAGTCTCCCGCCAGCTGGAGCTCCTCTCAAGTACTGGCACAGCAATACCGCATCATTTGTGACTAACCTCCTTCTTTCGACCTGGCGTCGTTTCTTTCCCAAGCCCTGGCCATCCTAGTACTCACCGTCGCTGGCCGACAACCCTTTCTTCTCGCCAATATCCGCAGCACAGCTCTATAGGGTAACGCCGAGTTTGTTGAGCATAGTCGCTATCATGGTTCAGCTCTCTGCCTTCCTCGGCGTTCTCGCGCGTAAGTTTCGCCGGGTCTTAGTGACGCCGCTTGCATGACTGACGCCTGCTAGTGGCCATCTCCTCCGTCCAAGCAGCCCCCAATCTTTCATCCCGACAGAGCATTCCGGACCCTTCCGGCGACAAAAACGTCGGAAACGGAGCTGGCGTGCAGTTCATCGGCGGACAGTGCCTCGGCGCGGCCGACTGTGCCTCTGGATGCTGCGCAACCCTCCCCAAGGGCGGACAGACCATCGGCGTCTGCTCTGGTGTCGGGGCCCAGAACCAGGCCGGCAAACAGGGCTGCGGCTTCGAGTCGGGCGGTGCCGGCAACCAAGGCGGGAATCAGGGTGGAAACCAGAATAACAATGGCGGAGACAACCAGAACAACGCAGGAGGCAATCAGAACAATGGGGGGGGCAACCAAAACAACGGCCAAGCCGGAGGCACCGTTCAACCCAGCGGCCTCAAACCCGACCCTTCGGGCGCCGGAAATGTGGGGAACGGCCAAGGGAAGCAGTTCATTACCGGCGAGTGCACCAGCGATGCCGACTGCGGCTCCGGTTGCTGCGCGCTGGTCAATACCGGCGAGGCGAACTTTGGCATCTGCTCCGGCCCGCAAGCCAATACCCAGAACGGCAAGCAAGGTTGTGGCTTTCCCGCCGGCGGTCAAAGGATTTCGGGGTCTGCTTGATCTGTTTTTGAGGTTTTGTTGTGTAGGAATAAATTCCCTTGTATCCGTGGTTGTTTCTTTCTCTGGGCATGTTCTTTTTGTCTCACGACGAGCGGCATCGGCATGTCGGTACTTGAGGCCGACCTCCGATGTAGACTCGGGTACACCTATTCTTAGCCAAATCGTGATACTACCCAGATACTTACATGTACGACTCGCTCACAGCTTCCAAGCCTTATATGATTGCTGGAATCATGGCCACTGGACACCGCGCCATCGTCTTAGTAAGTCTGTCGCATAAACGCTACGATTGACTCCAACCACGCTGGGGCTGCTCCCAATGTCTCTTATCAGCACACCCACTCTACTTCGTATCGATAAGATGAACTGGATGGGGAGTACCAAGTTGACTTTGGGATCCCTACTTGGTTGTAAGTCAGTGTGGGACACAATGCATGCTGTAGGAACGCTAATTCACGAATTCAAGGTCACGGGGAGGAACCCACGGACCTCACAAACTATGGACACACGGACGCATCTAGAACTGTCTATTTGGTATCTATATAACGTTATCGAGAAACAGGCTGTAGGCCTAGGGGACTTGGTCAAGGCCACAGCGCCTAGCAAGGCAACACCCATAAGATAACATAGTCCACGCGAGCCATTGTGCCAATTCTTCCCTTCACACTTCCACCAAACACAACCACAGAGCCATAACCATTCGTGACATACACGACAACCAAACTTCTAAAATGCAGTCGCCATTCTTTTCTCACATCCTCGCTGTTATCCTCGGCGTGCTGGCCACGATCAGCGATGCCCGCCGTGCCCCGGAAAACCTGCTGAACTTCTACGACGCGGTACGCGCCAAGGGCCACTGTTCCAACGCGTTGGCAACCGGTTTCTACAGCCGCGACAGCGGTCCCAATGGTGCGTGCATCCCCTCCTCCTCCCTTCCCCGCCCTCCTCCTCCCTCCTCCTCTTCCCAATCCCAACATCACCCCCAACCAACCCGCTCACCCAACCCCCCAGACTTCGCCTACTGCGGCGACCACCTCGCCACCTCGGGCATCATCTACCTGCAGGGCCGCGACGGCGCGCTGGCCAACCTCGACGTCGACTGCGACGGCACGGTCGGCGGGCCCAGCGACGACGGCCGCTGCCGGCGCGAGCTGAGCCCCGACCTGCAGGGCGCCACCTCCTTCCGCGACACGCTGGCAGGCTACGGCCACGGCAACGCCACCGCCGACCTCAACCCCTACGTGCACCCGTACGTGGTGTTTGGCAACGCCGTCGGCACGCGCGGCCGCGCGGGCTGGCGCGCGTTCGATCCGTCGGCGCATGGGATGCGGCCGCTTAGTGTGATGGCGGTGGTCTGCCCCGATCGGAGGCTGGTGTATGGGGTGTGGGGGGACACGAACGGCGATGATGACGAGAAGCCCATGGTCGGGGAGGGGTCGCTGGCGTTGGCCACGGCGTGTGGGGGTCGCGGGGTGACGGGCGGGAATGGGATCGACGAGGACGCGGTGTTGTTTGTGGGGTTTACGGGCGACGAGGCGGTGCCGGGGCCACATGGGGCCGCTTGGGATGCTGCCGATTTCGACGCGTTCGAGAAGAGTATTGAGGGCTTGGGGGACCGGCTGGTGCAGCGCGTCCGGGTTGCTGGGGGGGGTGGCGAGGATGCGGCGTGCAGTGTTCGGCCTGGTTGGGTCGGGACAGCGGTTGTTGTTGTCGCCGCCGTGGTGGGTGTTTGCGGACTGCTTTGATCTTTAAGTGCAAACCTGGGTGTGATTAACTTCCATTTCGGGTGCCACGTTCTTCTCCAGACCGTTTCCTGGTTGGAAGGGGAAACAGGAAGCCACTAAGTTAGTCAAAAATGAACGGAAATAACGGATACCCTCAATCTGTTTCTCTGCTGCCGCCTCCCGTCATGTCCCACAAACACAACGAATAGGCCAGGTGATTCGGAATGGCAGAACCATCTCCTCTCTTGCGCGTTGACCATGTCGTCAGGCTCTGACCGCGACACTCAATTGCCCCGCACCTCATCAGCACGTTTTCAGCCACGCAAGCAGCAGCAACAAGATTCCCAGCCCCACACGCCACAGCAACCAACGGGGTGGGGCAGGCGTGACATTTTGGATGCGCCCCACCTCAACCCCAGGGGACCACAAGCGAGAGAAAAACTTCGAACTTGGATGGATCTTGTTCCACTCCCACGATGAAAAGTTACCAGCGAACCCGTCATGCCGGTATCTAGGTCGGTCTTGTGCTGAACTTGGATCTGCATTTTATATTCTTGTCTCTCCGTTCTGGTTCTGACGGCCCGATACCCTCTTGTTTATGGAGAATGCTAAGCAACATTGGACACAGGTAGGGCCATCGCGCAAGTGCGTCTCCTTAAGTTCCAAACGTCGTCCCGCCGACGGCGCGAAATATCGACTGGCCGATCGACCCTCGGGTCCCCTTTTCCTACCGCAGAAACCCACACCCAGTCACTCTGATCCGGAAACGGATCTCTTGGTGAGCCTCTCCTCGGAGAGCCTTCTCTTCTCGACACGTCTTGTGTGGAGTCTCGGAAGGGGCTGGTGGTAGGCAGAGGGAATCACTTGTTTCCCCCTGAAATCGCTGCAAGAATAATTCTTCATTTTGGGGCATCATAGTTCTCGCGTCTGGCTGTTCTGTACGCACAGGTACCACAGATGCGAGACTCCAAGTTTCCCAACATTCCAGTGAGAACTTCATTGTCCATATACAAAAACACGGTCGGACGACCACAAAGATGATACGTCCCGCTGATCAGGTTCTCACCGTTTGCAACCATACCGTAACTGCCGTGTCTACGTAGTCTACATTGTTCATGCCGCGAGCAACCCAAGCCGATGAATGGGAGGCCTCTGGCTATAAAACAGAGGTCGACGACCCATGATGTCCATCTCGTGAATTAGTCCGAGCAGTTCAAAACCGACAGACAACATCTCAGTAACCCTGAAAACCAGCATTGAAACAACATTGAAACCAACCGCAATCATGGCTTCCCGCTGTACACTCCCCTACTTTTGCCCCCGCTCAAGCCTCCCCGCGGGCGCAGACCTACCTTCGGTAGCCGAAATCCTCGCGTCAAAGGAGGTTATATCAGACCCGCGCAGCACCAACAAAGTAGTCCGTGTGAACGACCACTTTGCCGTCAAGTATGGAAGGGAGAGTGCCCGCCTTCGGGAGGGCGAGAATCAGCTTTCCGTCCAGCAATCCAGCCGCGTCCGTGTGCCGACCGTTTATGCCATCTACCACGACGAGAAAACCAAATTGAACTTCCTCGTCCAAGAGTACATCCCCGGCAAGAATCTCTCAAGCATTTGACTTCGCCTTGATCACAAAGAGAAAGATGCTATAACGTCACAGCTCCGGGACCAACTGGACAGCTTACGCGCAATCCCGGAGCAGGGCTACTACGGTGGACTATGGCGGCAGCCGATTCTGGACCCCTACTTGACAGCGGTGACTAAGCCTGACGATCTGCCCGACAGCACCATCGTAGCGCCGAAAGAGACCGAAGAGGAGTGGGTTGAAGCCTTGTGGAAGTGTTACCGACAAACAATCCACTATCAAGTGTCAGAAGGCCGTCCGTTCTACTCGCCTCACATCCGTCGCCAATACCATCGCGCCTTCAGCGGCCACAGCCCCACTTTCACCCACAGCGACTTCAACCCCTCAAACGTCATGGTTCGAGATGACGATAAGAGCGTGTTAATCATCGACTGGGAATATGCAGGGTGGTACCCAACTTTCTGGGAATATTGCACCACCATGTTGTTTCTCAGCTTCGAGGACGACTTATGCGAGTGGATTCCAAATATTTTCGACTACCATTATACTACCGAGTATGGTTGGATGACGCACTTCAGAGCTGCAATGTCAATGCATTTTCGAAGCTTGTAGGAATGGAAGTGGGATGGGGAAGGCTGGATTGTCGGCGCTGCCGCAAGAGCCGATCACTGGTGATGGGTTCTGCGCAAAAGTTTTCAGAGCCATGCCATGCGTTGCCCGTCAGTCTATGATGCTATCAACCTTCCACTCGGCGCCCCTGCCATAAATCTCTCTCAACCTGAATCGAAACCCGAAACTTTTTCCCTCATGTCTTCCTTCCTTCTCTTGTGCACCCCCCTTGTGTAGTCGTGGCCACGGTCCTCGACGGCGCCACTAGATGCCGTCCGACCGGTAAACGATGTTGTCCGGCTGGTAAATGACGCCGTCATCGTCGGAGGGTCAGAGGCTGAAGAACACCGGTGGTCCGCAGAGTGGCAATGACGTCGGCAGTCCAGTGCTTCCAATTGCGAGCAGGCACACGTAGGTCAGACCGTCCCAGTCCGTTTGATTCGGGTTGCGGGCCGGGCGGGGCGACAGACCGACACACCTCCTTGACCCTCTCGTTGTCCTGGCGCCGCACCCAACTAATGTGCTGCTTGGTCCGGCCGCTCGTATCGACGAAGGGATCACAACAAATGTGGAATTGGTGCTTCATTCCATGGTGGTTGCCGTCGACACGGTACGCGTGACCCCAGTTGACTGAGATGTCGTTGGGCTTGGTTTCCACCCAGATAAAGTGATGGAGCAGATCGCGTTCGAAAGCGGTGGTTAGGTAAACGCGGTAGTGGGTTTGCTCAGAAGGCTCATCGGGAGTGCCGGTGGTGGTGTTGTTGGCGTTGATGTCGAGAGAAGGGATTGGACGGGGGGTCGGATGAGGGCTCGACGGGGGCGTTGACGCCGGAGTGGAAACGAGTGTCGATGCGGGAACCGACACGGGGGTCGACACGGGAGTTGGCACGGGGTTCGACACGGGAGTTGACGTCGGAGTCAAAGCGGGGGTCGGCACGGGGCGCGACACAACGGCCGACACGAAGGCCGACACCATGGCCGACGCCAGAGTCGACACGGGGCCCGGCACGGGGGTCGACATGGGAGTTGACGCCGGAGTCAAAGCGGGGGTCGACACGGGGGCCCGTACGGGGGTCGACACGGGGGCCCGTACGGGGGTCAACACGGGAGTCGACGCCGGAGTCATAACGGGGGTCAAAACGGGGGCCGGCACAGGGGCCGACAGGGGGACTGGCACAGGGGTCGACACGGGGACCGGCACAGCGGCCGACACGGGAGTCGACGCCGGAGTCATAACGGGGGTCGAAACGGGCGCCGGCACAGGGACCGGCACAGGGGTCGACACAGGGACCGGCACAGGGGACGACACGGGGGCCAAGATCTTAGTGATGAAGCTTGTGGTGCCGTTCCCGTTGATAGTCACGTGGTTACCGGTGGTCGCCATGTTGCTGGTGCTGTTGGGGCATTGTGGTGTGAACTTGACTTCGCAGTTAGGTTGGCGTTGGCGGTAATGAATTGGATGTCAAGATAGGAGATCTGATGCGAAGATGAGAAAGAGTTGATGGCAGGATGGGAGGAAGTCAGAGAGGAAGTTATAGTCGAGACGAGAGGTGGAGGGCGGGTTGAGTCCATGTTCGCATGTGTGAAATTGTCCTGTCGGTTGAGTCTCGTCACAAACTGGCAGACAAAGAAAGCTGTCAACAAACTGATAGAAGCTCACTGCCATCAAATTGAACGATAGATCATCATGCAGAATGTCGGCACGAACCAGGACGTGCCGACAAATCCGTTCAAGCCCCTACATGACAACCATCGATGCAGGCAGCCGCGTCACTCAGTCCTGATCACTGGGCTGCTTGCAAGCCACCCACCGAAAGGCCCCCCATGGGGAAAACTGTACGACTAGCCAGCAGTCTCCCACGGATTCACTATTGATCAGTTTTGGGCGAACCGTTCAATTGCTCAAATCTTCAACCATGTTGCCATCGGGGGTCGAAGCTGGGAAGGACGGGAAGTCAGTCAATCTGAGATCCCTCTCTGCGTGGAGGTTGCCCAGGGACCGGGGCAGGGGGGTGCATTTCCCGTTTGTATGCACATACTTGATTGGAGGAAGGGAAAGGCTGAGCACCCATGGTGGAGAATGTCTCAGTCTGTGCCGCCGCTCATGTGGGCAGCAGGCTGAAACTCATGTCTGTACTCCCGGGACCATTGGCTTGACTTTCCTCTTGAACACACGGTGGGCATTGGTACCAACCAAAAAAGTCTCCGGGGATCGGAGAATCTAGAACAACCCTTGAAGTCCGTTGGACTGATGCAGCTTCCGGCCGTAAACTTACTCGCTTTTAGTTGTCTCTATCCCCAGAAATAGGAGAGCCTGGTTCATCGACCAGCTTGGGCTCGGTCGTCGGCTGCGGCGGCTTTCCTTAGGTATCTAGGTACCTTGTAATTGTTGGTGCGAGGGCTGTGGTTGCGAGAGTTGTGGGTGCGAGTGGGTTGCGAGCCTGCTCAAGGTAACCCCATATCCAAGGTAAGGTACCTAAGCTTAGTATTCTTAGAAGCACTCGTGGACTGACGGTCTTGCATATAATACAATACGTCAAAGACTAAAATATCGATTTTGTAGCTTTCCCATTAAAGTCCAGAACAGAGTCTTAGTAGGCAGTGATGAATGCGTTGATACTATGTGGACAGAACATGATGCAACGGAGTGGGGGTGAAAAGGAAGGTTCAATTTGATGTTCTTCGAGGAGCGGGGGTCCGAGGTATCGGCAGCTTAAACACTTGCTTACATTTACTTTAGTACCTTAGGTTCACACTCCTCACATTCTCCATCCACATGGGTGTCATTTGTACGATCAACCCTTTTCACTCGACACCGCATTTCCCCCATTCTACATTTCATCCCCTTCCACCCCCCCTCCCTATCCCGTCAGCAGAACTGCATAGGGAGCCGAAGCCCCTGTTCGTATACCGACTTTTCCCGGCCACCCCACAACGCGCCACGCCGGACAAGAACGCTCCCGTCATCCCAGGCCCTCCGAGGCTGCAGGACCCCGGACTCGGCGAGCGCGGCGACGGCGTCGACGACCCAGTGCTGGCAGTGGCGCACGGGCGCGTCCGGGTCGATGCGTTTCAGCCGGTCGTCCCACCGCTTCGCGGGCGCGGGGACGAGCCCACATACCTCGTCGACCCTCGGAGTTGGTGCCGGTAAAGACGACGGCTTAACTTCAAATATAAAACCATCCCCGGTAGTTTGAGTGTTTACAAAAAGCTACATAAAAGACTGTGTTTGCCGGCAGTATGTTGTTCTACATACAGCGGATTGTTGTCACCTGTTCAATCTTTGGCCTACCAAGCGTTGACGTGAGCTTCCTGATATGGACATGATTCGCTCCCCGCCGGTGCCCGCGGTGCAAGACAGTGGCGGTCGAGCATCGAAGGGAAAATAAAGTGTGGTAGTAGTTATGGAATACCTTAGCTTGAATCAGATACAAATCATTTGATGCATCCCAATCTGGTCCCGCTGTTGACAACCATGGCATCTGCATTGGAAATGAAGCCTTTGATCTTTCTCCTCCGAAGTGCCGGTGGTCGGTTGGTCCGTGGAACGGCGAAGTGTGGGCGTGTCAGTCGGTGGTGGGTCCAACGAACGACGTCATCCCGTCTTCAGCTTCGGACCCAGTGAACTGAACCCCCGAGCCCCCCACTCGCGAGCCAGCCCCCTTTCCCAGTTAAGTCCAGCGAACAACCCAGTCAGCAACAGTGAGGGGACTCATATCCGAGTAATGCGAATAGCCAACAACCATGTCTCCGCGGCTTGATTATGAGCACGACCGCCCCAAGCCCAAATTTGGGCACCTGCCCCTCAGCACGAGCGGCCCACTAGAATGTGCTCTTAAAGGCACTGTTCTCCTCAACCACTCATACTTCAACAAGGGGTCTGCCTTCACAAAGGAGGAACGCCGCGACTTCGAGCTGTCGGGTTTGTTACCGCAAAGCATTCAGACGCTGGATCAGCAAGTGCAGCGAGCATACGAGCAATACTCTGCGCGACCGGACGATCTTGCCAAGAATACCTTTCTGACGTCCATGAAGGAGCAAAATGAGGTGCTGTACTTCAAGGTGCGTCGTTGGTGTTATGCGGGACGGTTGCGGGGAATCCAGTGAACGCGGGGGTTGACACGTGAGCACACGTAGTTGCTGCTGGACCATCTCGACGAGATGTTCAGCGTTGTCTACACGCCCACCGAAGGGGACGCCATTGAGAATTTCTCGCGGCTGTTCAGGAGGCCGCAAGGCGTATTTTTGAACGTCCACGACTGCGACCGGGTGCATCACGATTTATCGTTGTGGGGGATGCCCGACGATATCGACTACATTGTTGTGACAGGTGCGACATTTCATCCCCGAGCTCGGTCGAGGTTGCGGTATCAACTAACCAAACTAGACGGCGAGGAGATACTCGGCATCGGAGATCAGGGATGCGGGGGAATCCTGATATCCGTGGCCAAGCTGGCCCTCATGACCCTCTGCGCGGGCATTCACCCGAATCGGGTTTTGCCGGTGGTCTTGGACTGTGGTACTGACAATGAGACCCTCTTGAACGACCCGCTGTACCTAGGCCTCAGAGAGAAGCGGGTCCGGGGTAAGAAGTATGACAAGCTCGTGGAAACCTTCGTCCAGTCCGCCCGGGAGCTATACCCGAGGGCGTACATACACTTTGAAGATTTTGGCTTTCACAACGGTGAGAGTCGCACCACCTTGTGTGGACCAAAGCTAACACGGAGAAGCACGGCGACTCCTCGATCGGTGGCGGCCAGACATTCCCTGCTTCAACGATGACGTCCAAGGAACTGGGTGTGTGACCCTGGCCGCCATATTCGCCGGCCTGCACGTCTCGAAGACGAAGTTGGGCGACCTTCGCATGGTTGTGTTTGGTGGGGGGACAGCCGGTGTCGGTATCGCAGATCAAGTCCGAGACGCCATCGCGACCGAGCGGGGGATCACCAAGGAGGAAGCTGCACGACAGATATGGTGCGTTCTCCTCGTGCCTGGCCTTGTGTTCGCGCTGACGTGAATCTTGTCGGCGAGGCTCATTGACAAACCCGGGCTTCTGACGAACCAAGTCGAGAGGCTCTCCGATGCCCAGAAAACCTATGCCAGGTCCGAAGATTGGACCGATAAGGAAACAGACCTGTTGGGAGTGGTCAAGGAGGTCAAGCCGAATGTGCTGGTCGGTACATCCACTGTGCCAAAGGCGTTCACGGAAGAGATCGTCCGCGAGATGGCAGCCCATGTCGAGCGGCCCATCATCCTCCCGTTGTCCAACCCTACGAGACTGCATGAAGCGGCCCCTGCCAACTTGCTCTCATGGACTAACGGCAAGGCGCTCGTGGCCACGGGCAGCCCGTTCAAACCCGTCAAAGGCCCATGGGGGCCGGACGGTAAGGAGGTGCAGATCGAGGTGGCCGAATGCAACAATAGTGTCGTTTTTCCCGGAATAGGGCTTGGGAGCGTGTTGTGTCGGGCCAGACTTGTCACCGACAAGATGCTAATTGCGGCAGTGAATGGCGTGGTGGGACACAGCCCAGCGCTGGCAAACGATACGGCGCCACTGTTGCCGGGGGTAGACAAAGTGCGCGAGGTGAGCGTCAGAGTTGCGCGGGAGGTGATTCAAGCTGCCGTGGAGGAAGGGGTAGCAACGGAAGAAGGCATCCCAAAGGACGAAAAAGAGCTGGATGGATGGATCATGGAGCAGATGTGGGATCCAGTTTACCGGCCGCTTCAGTATGTCGAGGCTCACAGCGCGAGCCGTCAGGCCAAAGGCGAACTGCGTGTCGTTGGGAGCTTGCCGCAGCGCAAATGACCCACTGGGGTCATGAAAATTGGCATCTCCTGCTGTTGCCGAGCCTGCGAACCTGCCAAGAGCTTGCCAAGAGCCTGCCTTGTGCTCGCAAATAAAACTGCCCCTCATTTACAGGGTTAGGGTACTGGCCGCCTTCGGAATCAAAATATTCACGTGACCGCTCACAGACTTGGTAGGGTTTCCGGCCCACACCAAAAATTATCGCGAATCGCCGTCAATTTTCAGGTGCCTTTTTCGTTTCCCGAAATTTCGACTCCCCATCGTCAAGTCGCATTTCCGCAACCACATTCACAATGGCCAAGCTTTCGTGAGTTCATACCGTCCTACTGCTTCTCGTGCGATTCTCGACAACTGCCGCCGAATTCCGAACCGCCGCTCTTCAGTGTTGCCAGAAATTTCGCAATGGAGGGGAAGTTGTGGGCGAACGGACAAGCTCCTGCGCAAAACCGGGGGAGCGGCGGTCAACTTCGGGCGGCAACTGTTGAGAAAGAGCCTAAATAGCCCTACATTTGTGTCCGCTAACCCCAGCCAACAGACGTGGTGCCCCTGGTGGGAAGGTGAAGATGACCCTCGGTCTTCCCGTGTACGTGCGACTCCGTTCTCCAGACCCGAAAACACGATCCCCGAACAACGAGCCCGATCCGAATTGAGAAGATGTTGGACACAGGGGATTTTGTCGCTAACGAGGGGGTAGTGGTGCTATCATGAACTGCGCGGACAACTCGGGCGCGCGGAACCTCTACATTATCTCAGTCAAGGGCATCGGTGCCCGCCTGAACAGGCTGCCCGCCGGTGGTGTCGGCGACATGGTGATGGCGACGGTTAAGAAGGGAAAGCCCGAGCTCCGGAAGAAGGTCCACCCGGCAGTCATCGTCCGCCAGGCCAAGCCCTGGAAGCGCTTCGACGGCGTCTTCCTCTACTTCGAGGACAACGCTGGTGTGGTATGTTCTTTGGCAGGTTGCAGGCAGGAGCAGGGCTCGTTTTGTGCGAGCACTGCTCAAACCTGTCATACCGTATTCCCCCCTGTTGTGTCGGTTGGTCTAACATGGTACAGATTGTCAACCCCAAGGGTGAGATGAAAGGCTCCGCCATCACCGGCCCCGTCGGGAAGGAGGCCGCCGAGCTCTGGCCCCGTATTGCCAGCAACTCTGGTGTTGTGATGTGAGAGGGTTTCTCGCGGGAGCGATGGGTCATTGGCATGCGGAATTTCGAGGGACGGATGAGAAGGACAGGATGAGGGCCGCAAAAGGCTCGGGCTGGATCGGCAGGCTTGCATTTCTGGCTGCGGCGTGCTAGGGAGTCATACCACTGCATGATATACAGGTCAATTCGGAATTCGTTCTTCGAACCTGGTTCTTTTGGTCCAGCGTTTCTCGTGCGCAAGCTTGTGACGGAGTTGGGCAGGGACTGGACTGACACCCACCACGGCCCGGTATTTTCGAGGCGGCCAACGAACAACCTTTCGAATAACCTTCAGGCCCGACGATTCTTGGATTGCTACAACACAGCGCTACACAAAGACGCAGTGACTGGGCTCTAAGTTTTCTTCTTGGCAGCATCTCCAGCAACCACTCTCCGGAGAGTCGTTCCGTCCTGTCCTATTTCTGTCATCGTTTCAGTCGCTCCGGTTGCACCCGGTTCTTGAACTCTCGGCCCGTGCTTAGGGTCCTGGCAGTTGGTGGGTTGTCGTCCGGGCGAGAGGCGGCCGACCCAGTGGCCCCACCCTTGCCCACATGGACCTTCCGGTCGGGTCGGTCTTACTAATATCCGTGGGTAACGACAACCGTACTTCCACACCCCCATCCGCACGCGGCTCTTCCTTCAACCCGCCCAAACGTCTCTTAACCCGTCACTAGATATCTATCAACCTCTTAACACGCCCGTCATACTTTGTCGCCCAAGTCTTCTCATAGGCCCCCTCCCTGACCACCATGCTTGGTGCCATACGTAAACACCGCGAGCTGCACCGGGAATCACATAAAATGTAAATCTGATCCGGAAGGGCATGCATTGATCATAACAGCTGTTTACAGGTTTCTCGCGCTTAGCGATATGCCAAGTTTGTGCCATGGGGGGTAGGGGGGGGGATGGTCCGTTCTACCTGAGGTCCGAGTTAAGGGCTGCGCTTGTAACCACCCGGGTTTGGGTTGGGATTCGGAGCCGTAATCGTGATGGTCATCCCAAGGTGTTTCGCTTGTGAAGTCGAACGGTAAGTCTGGGTCTAAGCCTCCTCTTTTGCTTGGTCTCCCCCGAACGACAGAGGGGCCTCCTGAGGCCCCGCCCCTGGTCATCCATATCCGAAGCCACAGTCCCGGTGTTCTTGCACACGTTTGGACATGAACTAAAGTAAAACACTGGCCCCGGCATGGCTATGCTATCCATTGTTGTCGGCAAGCCAACAGTGGTGTTATGCCTGTAGTGTAGAGTTTCTCGCTCCTTAGCCATCTTCTTTCACTTCTCCTTGTTTAGTAGTGTACACAGATGCTGGTATCTTCCCACCCGGCCATTCCAGAAAGCCACGTATTTTGCGTTCCCAGCAACTGACCAGACATCACGGCTAAACCCCAATTCACGGACAGGAGAAGTAAATGTCGACAAGCACACCATCTGTCCGTCGCCCAGTCTGCCGCCCAGCACAGGTAGACAAGTTGCCTTCCTAATACTTCTTCTCTACAGCATCAGCACACCATTATCCTATCCCGACTTGAATGTCTTATTGCAAAGTGTTGCTGTAAGTAACTAGACCAACGTGGTTCCAAACGTTTAGTCCTGCTACAGCAAGCAAGGGGCACACTGCTATAGCCAAAAAGACAAGCATAGATGAAACTGAGATTGCAAAAGACCAATTGCTCAACAGTCGGTAACAAGGGGTGAAATATCGATTTGAGTGCCCCAAACTGGCGTGAAAGAATGAGCATATCTGGAGATATAAGGCGACACTTTGAAGGGTTCCTTGAGGCTGCTAGACGCTAGGCCCGGCGCCGTCGATGTGGCCGACCCAAGATGTAGGTAGGTTATTGCTACCGAGGGAGGCGTACCAGAGGACTCAAGCCAAAGTTAACAACAAAGAATCGTTATGCCGTCATCAACCATATTGTTAACATGAAGCCTACAAGATGTATTATGGTCAGATTGGGTCTTCGGTAATCCATCCCACACTACCTAATCATGAAGTCATCAGATTAGTTGCCCGTTCACCATCAGCTATACTCGTCCCGCTTCTCCTCGAAGACGTGTCGCCAGAAATGAGCTTATGGCATTGCAGGCATTGTAGCCTGACAAACCTCCCCCACCCCCACCCCAACGCGTTTGCAGGACGCGGGGACGGAGTGGGCTAGACCCCCCCATATTCAGATTTCCTTGCCCGAAGAGTCGATTGAGATCAGGAAACGAAAGACCAGGACACACGGGGTTGGGTGCCGACGAACCACATTGTGCAGGAGTCCCTTGTGCGGTTTCCATCTTGTTATCACAAGGAAAGCGAGGAATGCGTGATGATATGATATACAATTCTATTGATGCTATCCCTAACCGTCCATCTAATGCTAAACAAAGGAAACCCGTTACGTAGGTGAGTAAAGTAAGGTATCTAGCCGCCCGCCAACCCCAACTCCAAAAAAGATCATGTGTAAATGCAACAATGCAACTAAGACGGCTGATCGAGGTCCTCTCCCCTCACGACGGGCGCAGCCTGCCACAACATCGACGTCATGCTCAGCTCGATGGCCCCCTTCTTCTTGCGCTCCACCTTGGCGTTCACAGTCCTTTGGTAGTCCCTCTCCCACTTCTCCGTGAAAGTGACGCTCCCCGACACCATGACCTCGTGTCCCGTCCGGTAAGTCCAGCCGCCGCCCTGGCGACCTCGCCTCCCATCCTGCTCCTCCCCTGCCTTCCCTCCCGGAGTCAACACCTCAACCTGCATCCTCCTCCTCGCCGCCTTATCCTCCCCCCTCCCAGGCACACTGACCTCCACCGTCCCAGGGTTCTCCCACGCCCTCTTCGCCACCTCCACCAACCCCTCCCCGCCATCACCACCATCCGCCTGCACCCCCTGCAACAAATCCACAAACACAGCCCTCGACAGCCCCTCCACCAAAACCCTCACCACAAACCCACACTTCATATGCCGATTCCAAAATGTCACCACCGCGACCTGAAACAACCCCCCAGCACCAGCACCAGCACCACTCACCCCATAATCCACCCCCCCCAACCTCAAACTCCCAAACTCCCCATTCCACACCGCCCCCCGGCCCCCTGACATCCAGCACCGCATACCCGGGCGCAATCAAATCCGGCGCGCGCACAAAGACCAACCTCATCCGCCCTGCGCGCCGCGCTCCCGCCCCGGCCAATCACACCCCAAACACCCCCACCCCCACCCCCACCACCGTCACCGCCGCCAAAGCGGCGCCCCGTCGCGTCCAGCGCCGCGTCGTTGCTCGTCGGCAGGTACAGGCAGCGGGGCTTGGCGGAGGGCCGCTCGGCGGTGGGCACGGCGGTGGGCTGGCGGGAGCGGGTGCGCACGAAAAGGTTGGGGGTGGTCGGGGTGGTGGTGAGGAGCAGGGCGAGTTGGGTAGTGGGGTCCTGCTCGGCGTGGCAGTTGAGGATGGCGAGGTAGGTGATCGGGGGGTGGGTGGTGGTGGAGTTGCTGGTGTTGGTGACGGAGGCAGTTGTGGTGGTGGTTGGGGTGGGGGTGCGGGCGAGGTCGAGGGTGATGTGCAGGCCTTTGTTGGTCAGGGCGTAGTCGGTGATGGGTTGGTTGGGGGTTGGGGCGGAGACGACGACGTGCGCCATGCCGGCGAAGTCTTTGGAGGACTGGGCGAGGATGCCCGTGGTGCCGGCGAGGTCGTCAAGGTCGATCTCGTCGAGGTCGGGGTGTTGGCCGGGGTAGTGCGGGGCGTGGGCTTGCCCATCGCCGAGAGTGCCCCAGGCGAAGATGGTGTGGTCGTCGGACCGCTTGATGATCTCTTCCTGCAGGCGGAGGAACGCCTTGTCGCCCTCGCCGTAGATGACGGGCATGTTCACGCCGAAGAGGCCCATCAGGGAGTAGGCGAGATCCTCGGGTTTGGTGGTGGTTCGGTTGGCCGCCCAGGACATGCGCTGGGCCACGCTGGCGTTCGGGATGAGCTTTGGCTCGAGGAGCGTCAGCTCATCCACCCCGGTAATCTTGGCGACGTGCTTGACGAGCGAGGACTTGGTCCCGAGTAACCTCCAACCCCTGGCGTAGAAGACCACCTTCCGCGGAGCCAGCAGCTCTTGCAGTGTCCACCCGCGAGTGAACCACTTGCTGTTGGCGAAATGGTCCTTCCATGTCATGTAGCCCTCTGTGTAGTCATCGAAATGGACGTCCTCGAGGAATGCATAGCACACCGCCGCTCGTTGATACCAGCGGAACATGGAGTTCACCGCCTCGGAAACCTCCGCGCTATTCCGCTTATCGATGCAGCAGGTGTCCACCCAGACATATCGAAACCCGTCCTTCTCGGCTTGACCGCATGCGTAGGCAATCTTGGCGTATCCGGCCTTGTGCTCGAAGGGATGGAGTATCACAGAGGGCACCATGCTGCCTCGTTGACTCCTCGTGTCGGAGGAGTCGGAGTGGTCGCTCTCGTAACCGTTGGTGAGAGCGGGAAGGGGTGGACCCCGGTTGGCCCGGGCCCGTTCTCCTCGAAATGCCATCAGCATGGTTGAAAGAAGCATAAGCTTCATGGCGTCTGGTGTATCGGCGTTTCGCGGCACCAGGTCTGCAGGGGGTTCTTGTTGTGACCGACGATATCTGGCGATGGCTTCCATGTCGTGGAAGGTCATCTCTTCGGTGCCCCATGTGTGCGAGAGGATGGCATATTCGGGGATGTTGGTTCCGTGGAACTCTTCCACCTCGCGTGTTGAAACGTTGAGTAGTCTCATTGCGAAAGTGGGAGGTGGGATGGTGGTATGTGTGTCGGATGTCAAATGTCAAATGTAAACAAAGGTGTAAACAAATGTAGACAATTGACGGTGTGTAATTGTATGTAAGAGCGTGTGTAAGAGTGTAAGAGCGTAAGAGTGGAACTATTATGTGTAACGTGGGTGGAGCCAGAAGATAAAAAAAACAAAAAACAAAAACGAAGATGGCCAATTTTCGTTGTTGTGAGACTGAGAAATTGCTGAGAGATGAAAGAGGACGCACATGTCAATTCACTCAAAACCCCTTCCTTAATAAGCTTTCTCATTTTCTCATACAGGGCGCCTGCCATCTTCACTCGTCGTGTTTTCCAGGGCGAGTCCAGGTGGCGGCAGTTTGTTGGAGCGACTGGGAGCCCACCAGGTGGTCCAATCAGGAACGAGATTCATGATTCCCGCCCCTGAATTTGAATACCCTCGAGTCCCATCGGGTGCAGTCAGGCTCCAACCTAGGACCCGCTCCCAAAGCCAAGCCTGCCGTTTCCACGAAACTGTTGCGGCAGTGTTGCCCGACGAGTCGCTGGCATGAACCAGTGGTTCAGGGCGTCAACGTGGTCCCTCATTTGGCGTGGTCCATCATCATGTCGTCAGTGGTAGACAACTTAATTAGTCACATGTCGATTTTGTTTACCCTTGGGTTTTTAACAATAAGGCCAATGCCCGAAAGGGGTTCGAGAATAGGATGCCCATTCGATGCAGTGTTCGCCCTGCAGTGTGAATTGTCAAGATTCAATCACCACTCGAAGGCGTCGGAGTCCGAGGTTGGCTGGCACATTGCTAGCTCTCTCCCCTCATCTTTTCCCCGCTAAGGCCCAAGAAACCGAGATTGGGAACTTGGGGAACATTCGATCCCGAATCCCGATTCGAGTAACTTCATCCTTTGATTTGGTTGGCACGTGACTCGACTTCAATACACAAAGACATTGTTGTTAGACATTGTTTCCAATTCCAAACAGGCAAGGAGCTTGGATGATTGCCTCATTTTCAAAGTCTTCTTGTATTCAACCTATGGATGGATCCCAAGAATGTAGAATCTCGAGGCGCAGAGCAACTCCCCACCAAGCACTGTATATGGGAATTGCAAGTTGACGACTGGACCAGCAGTACTTGCCCTTCTCTGCAAGTAATGGTCCAAATCAGTCCACACCTTCACAAGTCCCCTTCACGAGCTTGCCCCCAAACTTAACAGGGCTACAGAGAGAGAGTATTCAGGGACCAATGCTATGTATTCTCATTTCCCTCGTGATAATGGCGATATACCAGGAATTAAGTACGGGCATAAATGTAAATGTACCCCTTGAAACACGTGATCCCCATCCATGTCCACGAGATCTAACCATGCACCATGAGCGCCATGTAAATGCAAAAGACGTGCTCCGTCCCAATGCCCAGAGTGCCATGCTATCCTAGCACTGATCAAGAAACCATGTTTTTTTGCTTGACCGAAGGAAAAGGTCCAGTCCAGAGAAGGAAAACGAAAAAAAAAAAAAAAAAAAGGGAAAAGAGACGTATACCCAGTCCTTCTGTGTACAACCAGTTCATCCCCGGCGCAAAACGATCATAGTGGCCGCCCAGCATCTCACAACTGCTTCGATATACAACCCCACCATCTTCAAGTTTTGAAAATCCTTTTCTTTTTGTTGTTGCCTGCCAGCAGGCGCCGCCCGAATGTGATGTCAGTCATGACCCCTCAAGACATCGGCCCCGGCGGTCCAGGAGGTGGCCCATGCGGCATGGCGTAGAGATACGACGGCTGTTGAAGGAACCCCTGGTGCGGCGGGGGGTGCTGCAGCATCATCGGCGGGCCCTGGGGCAGAGCCAATAACCCCGAGCCGGGCTGGCCGTGCATCGAGGCCGGCGTGGTCGGGTCTGACGGCCCCGCAGACCCCGAGTCCGTCATCTGGCCCATCCCGTTCGCATCGCCGCCGTCCGCGTTCGGGTTGGTCGCCGCCTTTTCGGCCTTCTTGTTGGCCAACGTGGTGCGCCGCTTCTCCACGGCACCCTGCATCTCGCCCGAAGCCCATCGCCCTGTGCTGTGTGTTAGCGAATTGGCCCCGTTCATGCACAGAAAGGGTGGAAACTTACTCCTCATGGACCAACTCATCTTCTCCGACTTGGTCATCTCGGCGTACGGCTTGTCGAGATCTCCGTCCCCGTTGGCTGAAAGCCCCAGCTGGGCTTCGCTTGCAGCAGCGGCCTTTTTGCCGCGTGGTCGCTTTGGTTTGGAGCTAGGCGCTCCGTTGGACGGTGTCGATGCCCGAGAGGGTGCCGACGAAGAGGCTCCGTGGTTGGTGAGCTTAATCTTGGTGATGGGCTTCTTCACCAAAGGGGGAGGAGGAGGTGGGGGGTGGGTTCCGGCAACAAAGGCGGGGGCCGCGTTGAACGTGTGCAGGTACGGCCCTGCCTGCGTTGCCGCCGGTTGGGAACCGTTGCCCGCATCTACCACCATGGGTCCGGTCACGAAGTTGTGATAAAACTTCGTCGCCACTGGCGGCTGCAGCGGCGGTGGGGTGGCCGGGCGCGGAGAGGGGGACGGGACCGAGGGCGGCGGGGGTGGTGCCTGGGCGGCCGGTTCCTTCTTCCTCGGTCCCCGCTTCTTCGGTTCGGTCGCGGCGCCGTTCGCCTTTTGGCCAGTCGTGCCCCGACCCCGTCGCTGCGGGCGAGTCTCCAGCTCCGGGTCGTTCTCCAGCACAAAATTGCGCTTCCGCTTCTCCCGAAGCGAGTACGTCGATTCAGTCGTCTCGGCCGTGTGCGCCGTGCCGTTAGACGACGAGGTCGACGGCCTCGAATCGGGCTGCGTTGAAGCGTTGCTGTAGAACGATGAGCTCGCCACTTCGCCGCCGGCTTGCTGGTTTGGCTGCAAACTTTTGGTGCCACGGGCGCGCTTCGGCTTGCTAGTCTCGCCGCCGAAGCCAGCGGGTACCGATGTTGGCGGCTCCGGAAAAGACGGCGCGCCCCGCCCGCGCCTGCGTGTGGCTTTCGGCTTCTCTTCCACTTCGCGTTCCTCGTCTTCTGTCCGGTTACCGTCCGCTCCGGCGACTGGCGTGATCTGGTCTCGGTCATCCAGCAGCACGGCGGCACGTGCACGCCCAGCGCGCCCTTTACGGGGTGATCAGAAAAAACTCTCGGCAAAATGGCCTTGCTCTGGAACCCTCATATTCGTCTCCGTTCCCAGCGGTGGTCGGCTTCCGCCGCTGGCGGCGCCCGGGGCCAAGCACGGTGATTCCTGTCGGTGTTCCAGCCCGGCTCGGATCCTTGCTCTGGTCTGAGACGTGGCGAGGCTTCCTGGTCCGCTTCCCCTCGACGACGTTCTCCTCGGCAAGTTCTGCCCCTTTCTCAGTCCTCTTCCGGAGTCGGTTCTCAGGCATCTCCCACCGCTGTTCTTCCGGGTTTTGCCGGCCCACTTGGGTGGGGTGTGTGTTGAGCTTGAACCCGTATGCTTGGGCCATAACACGGTCTTCTTCCTTTTGTTGCTCGAGCAAAGGGTCATCAATGTAAGGGCGGGGGGCGCGTATCCCTCGTACTTCAAACGGGGCTGGGCCTTTGACTGGGTCGTCAAAATGACGCCGCGGCGGCAGTGGTTCGTCTGCCTTCTGCCGATTCTCCCAGTTGATGACCGTCTTATCATGGGCTTTGCGGCGCTTTGCATTATCCTCGTCGTCCAAGAGCTTTTTGAGTTCGTTGTATTCCTGTTGGTAGGTATGCAAAGTTTCCACCGCTGCAGCGACCGTCTCGTACAGGCGCTCATTCGGAAAGTCCTGCCACCCCTCAAACGCCTCGACGAAATCGTTGCAGTCGCGGATCTTGGGGAATAGATATTGGGTGTGCGGATTCCGCGTCACCTCCACAGGCTCGCCGGGGCTGCTTGCCTTGACCTGATCATCCATCAGCTCGTCGGCATCTTGTTCGTCCTCCGGTACGTCGTCCTGGCCCATGCCGTCATCAAAAGGAGCGGGTGATGGGGCCGCGGTGGGCGGGCGGGATTCAACTGGCTGCGAGTCTCGAGAGACGACTTCCTCAACAGACGCGGCGGTAATGAGTGCCGGCGTCCTAGCCACAACGGTGGAACTAGCTGTGGATTCTGTGGTTGGTGTCGGGGTGGCAGAGGGAGAGGCTTGGGTGTGGGCAGACTTGTACCGACGCGCACATTCGTTATTGAATTCCCGAATAGATATTGGCGGCTCCCCTTTCTCTTGCCTCCGCCTCGTTTCCTTGCGGTAAAGAACCATGAACTCCTTGTATTTCAGAGGACGGCTTGTTTCCCATTCGATTCCGACTGACTTCCTCTCGAGTGATGGAAAGACAGGTGTAGGTGTCGGAAAAGGAGTAGGCTCTCCTTTGGGTTCCGCCTTGAGTTCCGCCTTGGGCTCTGCTTTAAGTTCTCCCTTGATGGTTTGGACTGGGTGCACCCATTCCGTATACGGGCCAGGGAGGGGAATATCTTCTTCCTCATATGGTGTGAGCTTAAGATGAGATGCAAAGGGGACCTCGGCGCCGTAGACGGGCTCCAACGCTTTGAACCTTGCCGGCCCCGTCGGTTTGGGGTCTGGGAAGGGTGCCGTGTGAGAAACGAGCGACCCAGATGTCACCCCGTGCAAAGTTTGGGGCGCCGTGAAAGGCAATCCTGATTCAGGCGCGAGAGCACGAACCGGCTTCGGAGTTTCAAGTTGCGTTGTCAGTGTTTGCGGTGGCATCCCGTCTTGCTGGTGGGGTTGTTGGGATGGGCTCTGCTCCGTATGGCCAGCCTCGTCAATTTGGGTTTCGAGGGCTCCAGGAAGGCCAGCCTCGGAGTCTTGCATAACGACGGATACAACGTCGTCCGACGCTTTAGCCTCATTTTTGAAAGTAGACTCTGCTTTCTCCACATCGCCATCAGGCATAAGTGAAAGATGGGAGGGGGGGAACTGGGGCTGAGGTTCGTCGTAAGGTTGGCCGGGAATGATGTTGTCAATCACTTGATCACCTTCTGCGGTGATGGACATGGCGTCCTCAACAGGCTGGGACGGCGGCGCGGGTGGTGTCGGCGGTTGCACTTGAACACGGGCAGCCACGCTCTCGCCCGAAGATGTCGGACGCGACTCGGGGTCCTGGGATGAGGAATGGTCTGATGCCTCTGACGGGGCGTCGGGGCCGGTGTTGGGCACGCTAACGAGAATGGTGTCCTGCACCTCGTTGTCGGACGGTTGATCGACAAAAGGGCTGAGATCTGTGGACAACTTCTTGGATGGGTTGCGGCGGCGGGCCACTGGCATTCGAGGCGGTACTGGAGACTTGTCGATGCGGTGGCGCTTGTTGAGATTTGAGGCGACGTCTTCTGATTCATCGCCGGAGTCGTCATGGCCGCCTTTCCTCTTGCGGCTGCGGGCACCGGGAGTAGCAGCGGGCTTGACGACCAGGTCGTTCTTGGCTGCTGGCAAACCAAGGTCATCATCAATCATCTCCTGGGTGTAATCAATGCGGGCACGCTTTCGCAGGGAATGACCGCCTTTTGAATGACCCTCGTCGTCGGCGGCGCCTTCATAGGGCGTCTCGAACGTCCTTGACCTCTTCCGGGCAGGGCCATGGGCAGCCATAATGGAGCCCGCTGCTGGCGGCGACTCGTCGGCAAAGGAAAAGAAAGGGAAAGTGGAACTACGGACTGGCCGGTCAGCCCGATCAGCTTGTTCAGTCGCGGGAGATGAGGCGCGATAGGTTGTTTGAGTGTTGTTGTTGGCCTGGCGGGCACCGGTTCTACCCCCTCGTTGCGGTGTCGTATATGGCACCCTGTTTGACGGAAGGATGTTGGAAGGCTCGGGAGTAGTTGGGGGAGCCGTGTCTGAAAAAGAGAGGCTCTGATGAGACGAGTAGGAGTGAGAATGAGAGTGAGACGGAAGCGTGGCACGCTTCTTTGCGCCGCGCCCGCGAGGGATGCTGCTACGTCCGCGGTCCATGGAGGGCGGTTGTAATTCAATTTGCTCGCCAGCCCCACTTGCACGACCGTCGTCAAGTGGCTGCTGCATCCAGGCGGTGATGTTAATGGGTGTTGTGTAGTTGTCGTGGTGGTGTGTAAGAGACGGATGGCTGCGGCGAAAAAAGAGAATCGCACTAAAGCAATACCGGGGCTGGCTTCAACGTGTCAGGGTAAAGTCAGACGGGCTGCCAAAGCCAGGTTGGTCGCTTATTTGCGTGTTGCAGAAAGAAGAATGCAGACTGTGCAACCCTTGAAATGGGCCAAAAAATACAAAAGAGTGCTGGAGGGATGAATGAAGTATCTGGTCTTTGTACTGTTATTGTTGGAAAGCTACAATAGCAATGCTGGAGGTGAATATCAGACCGAGTCTTGGAGCGTGTGTTGCCCTCTTTTGCGTGTTAGATTTCTTCTCAGGTCAATTTCTGGAGGTTCCCGAATAAGCCACGCCCAATCGCATTTCGCCAGCCGCCCTGCGGTGCAGCCCCACCTCCACAGCTGCCAGCAGCTGTGCACCCACGCTTCAACCCGCACTGTGCTCTCTTTCCGAGTCCCGTCTTGCTGGCCAAGAAATATGGAACCTGGCTAATGAATGAAACTTGCATCCGACCGAGGCCCGCAGGGTTCTGATTGCAGGAACTTGACTTGCAGCCCGGCCTGCTTGCATAACCCCAACCCAAGTGCCCGCCTTGACACCTCGACGAGAGCCAGCCAACTGAAGCTCGTGACGCAACACAACAGCTCCCGTGCCCCCACTTGGTTTCAGTGGTCAACGAGACCTCTGTGCACCGCACTGCGCTGCCCGAAGCATCACCTCACTCCATCGCGTCGCGCTGCATCGATTGACCATCACTACGCATCACGCAGGCAGCTAGATACCTCGAGTCTTGCAACAATGGCGAGCAAACGGACAAAGGCGCCCCCCACCGACGACGAGCTTGGCGATCTCTTCGAGGGTATCGGCGGCGACAAGACCATCAAGAAAACCACCAAAGCCAAGCCGACCACGGCCAAGCCCAAAGCTGATGTCGCTGATCAAGACATCCTCGCCGAACTCGAAAACCAACTCGGCGAGAAAGCCCCAGAGCGACCGCACACCCCCCGCGTTCGCGATGTCGCCAAACGGACTTCCACCAACACGCCCCCTCCGGCCGCCGACGCCACGCGCAAATCCGCCGAGAGCACCGGGTCGCACCGTGCAAGCCTCACCCCGAGTGCCACAAGCTCCGAGCCCCACGATAGCGAGAAGAGAGCACCGGCTCAACAGACACAAGCAGGGGGTGGTGCGGGTGGCGGCGGCTGGTGGGGCGGGCTCTTGTCGACTGCATCGGCTGCCATGAAGCAGGCCGAGGCCGCTGTCAAGGAGATCCAGCAGAACGAAGAGGCAAAGAAATGGGCAGATCAAGTCCGCGGCAATGTGGGAGCGTTGAGGGGTTTCGGTACGTTTCTCTCCGGTCACATTCTCGTCTCCTACGACTGTCGTCCCAAGCCAGACAGACATATTAACATACATTCTCCTTGCCCCAGGCGACGAGATTCGGCACCGCGCCCTCCCGACCTTTACCAACATCCTCCACACGCTCGCCCCGCCCATCTCCTCCCACGAGCGCCTCCTCATCCACATCACCCACGACCTGGTCGGGTACCCCTCCCTCGACCCGCTCATCTACAGCGTCTTCAACCGCGTTATGGCGCAGGTCGAGGGCGGCGACCTGATGGTGATTCAGCGCGGGCAAGAATTCACACTCCGCAGCCCGTCGGCCGAGAAATCCGGCACAGCTCTCTTCAGCACAGCCCAACAATCGGCAGCCGGGTGGCGCGACGGGCCGTGGTGGCGGCAGGCCGACGTGGCGCGCGACCTCGGGGTGGTGCAGGGCCTGGTGGAGGGCACCAAGCTGTGCCGGGCCAACGCCGAAGGGTACGCGGCCGACTACTTTGCGGCGCACGGCGGCATCGATCAGGCCAAGCAGCGCGCGGCCGAGCCCGTCAGCGAGTCCAACCCGGTCCGCAGCTCCGACATCTTCCTGGCGGTGCAGGCCGTCAACGTGCGGGCCGACAAGACGCTGTTCGCCGGGTCGACGGCGGTGGAGAAGGAGAAGGAGGCGTCGGTGGTCGCCGAGGAGGACGAGGACGCCGAGGGCGAGGTGTGCTTCGCCGTCTACCTCCTCGACCCCGTGCACGAGATCCAGTACGCCACCGTCAGCCAGTCCGTGCGGGCGCGGTGGATTCGCTGGCTGGATGCCCCCGCCACGCCGGTGACGCCGGCCAGCGGGGACGAGGAGTTCCAGGCCGAGTTTGGGCGGGTCCCCGAGGAGATCCGGGAGATCATCGAGAGCGGCGGCGTGGATCCCCGCGAGTGGGTGGCCGAGTGGGTGGAGGAAGCCCTGGGCCTCTCGGTGGGCATCGTTGCGCAGAAATACGTCGCGCGGCGCATGGGGGTTGGTGAGGGCGGTATTGGGAAGGGCAAGCAAAAGGTGGAGAGCGTCATGGAGAAGGGCGGGAACGAGGCTGCTAGAGCCGGCTTGATTTGAACGCGGGGGAAGGGAACACGCAGGGGGGGGAGGGGGGGTGCGATCATCTGGATGTTAAGCACAAGCACAGGATTACCGGGGCGGGCTACCTGTGAATTAACTGGCTGGTATCATGCTGTTAGTGGGAGTGCTCTGGGGCTCGACTTGGCGTAATGGAGTTGGAACAGAGAACTTGAACAATTCTATTTCGTATCAATGGAAGGCGTTCCAATGCGCTGTGAGCGGCATTCACAATAGCTTTGGCACCCGGGTTGACCAGCTTCGACTTTTGCTCTTGCTCCGTCTCGCTTGTCTGGAGTTAGCAATGAACTGGTAACAGGCCTTGCCTTAGAGATCGTGGGTGTTTCATAATAAGAAAAAAAACCTACATTATCAAAAGCTGGCCAGCCAACACAAAGAGGCCAACAAAGGCGGCAGCAAAACTCAGATAGCTGGTGACAGCATCTCTGTCGTCGGCTACGCTAACCCTGGTATCAAACCCTTCCGAAACTATGGTCAAGCCAGTTTGACAATCAGCGAGGCCGAATTGGAGCATGTCTCCGAATTGGGAGTGCACGACCGAGGCTTCAGAAATCAAATACCCAAGCTGGCTGGCATGATGCCCGAGCTGCTGGAGTCTTGATGAAAGCATCCCCAGGCATTGGTGAAGGTCATGGTCGCCTGACTCATCTCGGGCTGCCTGAAGGACCTGCCGGGTTCGGACGACCATCGAGTGCGCCTTGTCCGACAGGGCTGAACAGGTGGCTGCCGCCCTTGTCTGAGAGAACTGGCCTATGGTTCCGCGTTGGTTTGAAAGAAGAGGAGAGAAGAAGGGGAAAATGACAAAACTGCTGAGTACTTGGTAAATCACAAATAGGACCGAACTTGCTGCACGAAAGTCAAGCTGGATTACACGACCACAGCTTGAGCGATCTCAAAGTGCGGGGTTTCGCTCCAATGCTCCTCCTGCATTCGTTAAAGGAGAGAGCTGGGGGGTTTTCGGGTCTATCCGTAAATGGATGGAGGACGTATTAACTTGACTCGCTAAAAACGTAGATACCGTCGTAAAAACACGATTAAAATTGAAGTTAACTGAATTGCAATAGAAGCAGCGAATTCAGTCAAAAAAGCGATGAAGATCTTTTAGAAGCGCGTCAAACGTAGGCCAAACGCCGGCATTAAGGGACCTTAGGCACTCTCTTTAAGAGAGTCTCTTACCATCCAGCCATTCCACTTCCTTCTTAGACCATTGATACATCACTTCGCCCTTGATGCCAAACAACTCGTCATGACTCGCCCTTTTCAACGCCTCTCCATTCTCCATCACTCTGGCAATAACCAAGGTGATTCTGGGTACTATCTTCCCGTCCGACAACTGTACTACCTCCTTATACCACCATTATCATTATATCCGCTCTACCCGCGTACCAAACAACTCAACCCTACTCCTCAGCCTCAGCGCCTTTCCATCCTCCATCATAGGAGCCCCCCTCTTCCTTACCACCCTTTTCATTTCTTATACTATCGCGTCCTTAGCCACCCGCAATTCTCCTTGGCGCAATACCCAGCTCCAATATACGAGCTCCCAGGAGTCGTCCTTTCCTCTTTCTCCCAGTCCGTCGGGAACGGGCATATCCAAGCTGATAATCCAACATACTCTTTTCGATAGTCCCATTTTGACTAGGCTGGAAGTTGCAGCCTTCTTAGCATCATACCACCCACTATCGTATGAGCAGTACCTGGTATAAAGCTGGCTGTAGAGAGGTTGGGCACCGTCGAGGTAGTATATCGTATAGAGCCCCTCGGGAAGGCCCAGAACAAGAGCTTGCGGATCGTGGCGGGAGCCTTTAAGTCTACCCCAATCCGTAACCTCGAGACAAGAGACGTGGGTCCCACCATTGGACTTGTACCTAAACAAACGGCTTGCCGATTTCGAAAACCGACTCCAACGACCCGATCTGGACGACGGTCAAGGCGGCAAGAAGACGGCGGCGAGCGTTGTCCTCACCGCCTGCCGCAAGATACAGCAGAGACTTAGCTCGAGGAGGGGCAACAGGGGCCGACCGCGAACCTTGGGACCCCAAGGGCCTACGGCGGTGGAGAGAGCCGCGGGCACGGTCATGCGCTGGACGGGGGGAACCGTTGATACGGACAGGGTAGTAGAAGAGGCCTGGAGAGCGAGGTGGTTAAAGGAACAGGACGGCAGAGCAATTACCAGGCCGGCGGACGACTTTGACCATCAGCGGGAGACGCTATTCCGGAACGAAACCCTAAGGAGGCATGACGGTCTCAACAAGGCGAAGAGCTCACCGCTGATTCAAATCCGGACGGGAGCAATAGGCCTACGGGACTTCTTGTTCACACGGGGAGTCTCGGAGGTTCTGACGCCTGCCTGCGAGTGTGGCGAGGGACGAGAGACTGCCGAACACCTAGTAGTGTGGTGTTTGGCCCCACCGTTGGCTCGAAGATGGGAGAGGACTGGAATTCGGACACGACGGGACTTTTACTCTGTTCTACACGGTATCAATCCCACGACTGCACGGCTCGCGAGGAGGATCCTCGACTGGCTGATGGACACGGGGAAGCTGCCGATGTACAGCTTAGCCAGGAGGCTCGAGCTGGAAACGGCGGCCTGAAGTGCCCCCGTTCGGAGGCCAGGAGGCCTCCTCTCTTTGTATATGTAGGCTCACTAAAAACGCATCGCTCCTTGAATTGTTGGTACGGGT